CATCCCGCCGGAAGGAGCAGGTAGGAGGGGTAGTGGGGGGGAGCAGGAAACACAATTCTTAAAGTTGCCAAGGTTGAGAAACACTGGAGTAAGGAGTCTCCTCAAGATAAAACTCCCAAGGCAGAATCAGTTTCCTATTTATGTATACACACACATAATTTTTATTAAAACATTTAAAAAGGAAGATAAAAACTAGTACAAGCTAATATAAAGTAAGGAAGAAAAGAGAGAAAGAAACGAAGGAAAAGGTAAAGGTGGGAGAAAAGAAAAAAAAGTTAAAGGTAGTAAAGAAAGAAAAAAGATACCAAGCAGTGACTTCTCCTTTGCTGGGCGTGATGCAATCTTGCAAATATGGGCTGATGCTCAAAACTGGTGCTTTGCTTGATCTTGACAATTTTTTTTTATTAAAAAAAGAAATCTAGTGGGCAGGACTCCTGGCTGGTGCCATGATAGGTTGTTAGGCCCTAAACTGTGACGCGCAAGTCACAACATCAGCCCAGCTGAGAAATCCAAAAGGGGTTATTGCAGATTTCCCCCCCTGAATTTGGATCACTAACCACACATTTCTTTTCCTCTTTGTCTAACCGCCCCCCCTTATCTCTTGTTCAGCATTTCTGAAAGGACTGAACAACAAACAGCGGCGTGAGCATTACTTCACCAGAGACTTCATCAAACTGAAGCAGGTACCAACTTGGAAAGAAATGGCCAAAAGTGAGTGTTTTTCTGTCTGTTTTTAAAAAGCTGTTTTGGAGTCAAGAGGCACAGTGTTACCCCCCATCATCATCATCATCATCATCTTCATCTCTCCCCTTTTCATGCCAGGTGCCCGGATTCACCAACCCGAAGAAACCATTTACCCCAAAGATAATCACCTGAATGGGAAAATCTCCCTCGTCCGAGGAGATATTACGAAGTTGGAGGTCGATGCGATTGTCAATGCTGGTGAGTGAACGGCAGATTGGATCCTGTTTGGCTTTTTGAGGGATTGAGCGTTCCAGGTGTGTTTCTTGCACTCACGTTGGTTTAATAATGGAAGAAAATGTGCATGTTCTGGGCAATAATCTTTTTGTAATTCCTGTAGTCCGACTCTTTCTTAAAAAATGCCCTCGCTCCGATCTTTGCAGCATTGTTAAGCTAGCTCCTGTCACAGGGATTGGAAGAAAAGTGAAAAATGTGAAAGTAATGGATCTATGCGTGTGTGTGCATTGGTGCATGGGTGTGCATTCGCAGGTGTTACCTGGAAAAAGCTTAGCAGCATGTTGAAGTAGCTGGACAGTATTTCCCAACCTTGACAAGTTCTAGGTGTGTGGACTCCAATTCCCAGAATTCTCATCAATGACCATGCTGGCTGTGGAATTGTGGGAGTTGAAGTCCACCCAGCTGGAAATTGCTATGGTTGGGAATCAGTGAATTAGAAAGCTGCTGATGTTTCATCCTGCAGTTGATTTGAGCCGATAATGATGGGATGTTTGCGTGAATATATGTATACCTACGTGCATATGTACAAACTTTTTAAGCCTTTTGGAAGATAGTATATCTATATATAGTAAAACTAAGAGTACAAAGAAGTGGGAAAGATGCAATCATAAATAACAGGAAAAAATGCACATGACTGTATCTTCTCCTGAAATCTAGTCTTCCATAAGGTGATCAATAAATGATCAATTTCATATCACTGTTCTTTGGATTTGGGTGGTCAAACAAAGCAGGTAACTGATGAGGTTTTCTAATTCAATGCAGTGGATTGGGGGGGATTGACAGGTACTTAAAAGTTCTTAATTAGTTTACCACTTTCATACTTCAGACTCTTTAACAGATGTGCTAAGTCCATTATACAGCTTAACATTTCGGGTGACTGGAGTCAAAAGTTGAGTTTCAATGAAGTTACAGTGGGTGGGTGACAGTGGCACATAGAAATAGGGGAGAAGAAAGCAGAGTTCACAGGGAAAAAACTGTTAGGATAAAGGCAAATACTTCTTGTTGGGGGATCAAATTATGGCCAAACTAATTTTCTCCATCTGCAGGAAGTACCATCTTGTTCACAGGAGTGAGTGAGGAATTTTTTTGCTTGCTTCAGGATTTTGGAAACAGACCATAAAGCAAGCATTGCAGTGTGTACACATAGGGGTATTTCTTTAAAACCGTGCTCTCTGTGTGGATTGTTGATATCCTGTCCATATGAAGAACAGAGGGTGAGTGATGGAAAAGCAATTGATTCCATTACTGATGCAGGAGTATCTCTATTGGTGATGTTTTCTGGAAGAGCGGACTACAAATCTTTGTACAGGTCATCCTTGTTTAGTGACTGCTTCATTTAGCAACCATTTGTAGTTATGATTGATGAAAAAGTAACTTTGCGACCAATCCTTGCATTGACAACCTTTGCAGGTCCATAAAGCAAAGGAAAGCTGAAGTCAGATCATAAGCACAGTTGTGGTTTCACTTAGTGACCATTTTGCTTAGTGACCAATTGGTCCCAATTGTGGTCGCTAAACGAGGACTACCTGCATTCTATAGCTTACAATTTAAGATTTGAGGAAAGGGAGGGCAATTATGGCTGTTTAAGCAGAAAAAAAAAACATGGGGTTCATTCTCAGTCTCAAGTTTTATAACTGAGAGACAGAAGTTGCAAGTCTGTTTTTAGACATTTCTGTTCGAAATACTATATGTTGTAGTTGACTCAGCAAGACCTAAGTGTCTCTGCCTACCATGATCACTGGGGGGCGCCGAAGCTTCAGAGTTCAGCTTTTCATTCCCATTTTAATTTCACCATAGCAATAAATCTGCATGTTTATTAGTGGGATAAAAGTCTTTGCTAACAAGAGGTTTTTGCTGGTGCTTCATAAATCTTTCCTTTGTGCATCATGAAGTCCATATGTCCGTAATTCATACGTAAGGTTGCATGTAAATTTAGATTGTTGGACAATCTGATATTTCTAGCTGTGAAGAAACTAGCTCCGTGGAGCTTTTCCTTCCTCTGATGCAATATCAGATATACATGTTTGCAGGAGAGAGTTGTTTCAGGAAAGGCAGGGTGGTCTGGGGCAGGTTAGCAAAGCAAGCAGGGTGTTTATTTCCTCTTAACCTTGGCTCCATGGCAGAAATCTAGCACAATCACGGTAGCTCTCACAGATACAAGATGCATCGTTAACACTCCCAGTGCATCTGCGTAGCCAGCATTCACTGATATATTTCAATGTTATCTATCTATCTATCTATCTATGAGTGTAAAGAATATTTTTGTGCTGAAATTTTAGCATTGCTGTTCTGATGACAAAAAATGTACAAGTGAGCGATTGGAATATTTCGTGTGCAAGTTTAGGACAGAACAAATCCTGCGTGCGTATGCGGTGTCAACATTATAATGCAGGTTTCATATTTTGTCTGTGTGTTTTTATTCACTGACTGAAATGTGCAGCCTGCCCTGTTTCCAAGTTCTGGGCAGCTTCCCTAAAAGTAATAAAATAATGAAAAATAATAATGTCAATAACAAATGCTCTGCTAAAATGCCGAGTCTTATTCGCTGCCGTATGAAACGAAATGGGTTTTATTTAAGGGTGAGATTGCAGACTAATAAGGTAAGGTCATCCTATATCAATGAAAAGACCCACCTCTTTGCTAGTTTACAGAAGAAATAGCAAAAGCCTTAGGAGACAAATGGGTTAGTTCAGTTGCAGAAATTCTTCTAACACCATCCCTTTCACTTTAATAAATCTGGCTAAAAAAGACCCAAGTTCACACCTGGGTTTACTTTTGGCTGAGGTCCTTTTAATTTGGGGGAGAAACACATTCTGGGTAAATAGTCTACAGTGTCACAGAAAAGGCGTACCTCTGAGCCCATCCCTTCTTAATCTCATGCGGGGAGGGGGGCCATCCCTCTCCTACCCTGGACTGAAGCTATGTAGAGATTCAGAGATAACTATCGCATTGAATTGTACCACCAGTAGCCTGGGCAATGCCCGCGGTATACATGTTACATTGTTAAAGTGGCTTTCACCAACCAGCATGTGGGTTGAACTGCATTTTCAGCATAGTCTTCAAGGGCAGCCCCAAGTAAAGCACATTGCAGTAATCCAGCAGAGAAGTAAAGAAGGCATGCGTGGCCATCGCTAAGGCCTCATGCTCTAAATAAGGCCAGTGAAGGTGGTTAGGTTAGGGCAGGGGTCCCCAAACTCTTCAGCTCATTGATCCCTTTTATGAAGGTTCAGATTGTTCATCGGCCTCCCAAACATTTATCATGTGAAAATAATTTAATAAAGACTACTTTAATAGCACTATGAATAATACCAATAATAGATAATGACTTCATAAAAATAGATAATTAAAATATGAAAAATATAAGATTTAACATACCTTGTTTACTGAAACTGTTGACATCATTCATGGGAAGGAGGGCACCGATGCTTGGTTGGAGATTGGTGAGTTTTAGTTGTAAGTCACCCCGCTCTTCCAAGTTTAGTTTGCTCCTTATTGACCCCCAGACTTTTACTGACCCCCTTTTGACCCCCAGCCATTTATCAAGCCCTTGGATAATCCCATCGACCTTTGAGGGTCGATGTTGACCACTTTGGGGAACCTTGGGTTAGGGTTAGAATATTTGCTTATAGTTGATCATTATAGTTGATCAAACTTTCAGTGAAATGAATGAATAGAATAGGAAAGAGTATTGTTTGGTCCTGTGCTTGTTCAGCGCCTTCCAGGGTATCCCCAAATTCCAAGAAGATACCTCTGAACTGCGGGAGCCCTAATATGGCTGCTACCTCTTTTGAACTCTTAAAGTCTTAAAGAAGTCTTAAAGAAGGAATTGGCTTGGGTGAAAAGCGGGGGACGGAAATAATACCAGGCTGGGGCATTCTCTTGCAGATGTGCTGGCTTTCCAGATGCAGGAGTTTGCATTTCTGCACTGGGGGCTGTTTCAGAAAAAGCTGTCGCCGACTGAATGCTGGCTGGGGATGATGGGAGCGTAGCTCAAGACATCTGGAAGAGGCCAGGATTGGAAGGCTGGGACTAGAGCTCTGCTTGGTGCTTCCCCCCCCCCCCGGTGCCCCCGCCCCTGGCATCCTTTCTGATGGGTCACCTGAGATGCTTTCAACCTGACCTGGTATTTCCAGGACCAGCCAACTCTCTCTCCCTTTTTTTTGTACTATAAGAGCAAAGGAGCTGCAGGGGACCGGCTGGTGGAAAGATTGGCGCCGTGTTCTCCCAGCTGGGTGTTTTATGGATAGATGGATGGATTGAGTGCTTGCGTTTCTTTGGCATTATGAATCGCAGGCAACGGTTATAAGCCCGCCAAGTGCAGGAGCAAAAGCTCCAGGCAGCTATTAGAGTGGCAAATTGTCAGCGCAAATCGACGCATCTGTCACTCCAGCGGTCCAATTGCTCGCGGATGTTTGCCGCCACTGGGGTTGTCGGAAGAGCTGGAACAAAGTCCAAGTTGCTGCTCAGGAAGCGTGGAGGGGGTGGGTTGGCCTTGTTTTGCTCCTGGCCCATTCTTCCAAGCTGCTGGCCTCAACCTAGAAAAGGCCACGGTCGGTCTCTTAGAAGTAGAACTTCTCAACGGGGCCCACGCATCGCCCTAAACCCTGGTTTGTTTACCCGTGGCCAGTTGACAAAGCCACAGTCAGCGGGATTCAGAGAATTTGCTAAGCTGTAAGCCGGTGGTGGGCGACTTCCCCTGAATCTCTTTTTGGATAGAGCCACCTGTAACTACAGTTGCTGAAAACCGGGAATGTGCTTTTCTGCATTTGGAAAAAGGGAAATATGCAAATAAACTCTAAAAGTGGCTTAAAAAAAAAAGGAGGGAGGGAGGTCCCTGGGATCCTCCTGCCAAACCGAACACCGTGCACCTTTCAGAAAATCTTGAGCTTGTCCACTTTACGGCTCACCCAACCTATCGTGGGACACTCAGGGCGGCCCATTCCAAACTGTGATTTACCAACGGCAGGTGTTGGGTTTACTCAGTGTGCAAAGCCCCA